GGGCTCGGGCGGGAGCCCCTGCTCAGCCTCCGCGCGGCCGCGGCGCCCAGGATGAGCCGAGGCCTCTCGCACTCGGCCGGGTCACGGCGAGCCCGAGACAGGCAGCTCATTAGTCACCGCGCAGGACCATCTGTTCCCGGTTATAAACCTGTTTTCTCTGCTCAGTTTCTCAGAGCAGGGAGCTGGGAGTGACTGGCAAGCAAAGGGCCAGTCTCCCATCCCGCTGCTGCGGGGACAAGGGACGCGCTGGCCTGCGGCCGCGCGGCGGCCCCAGCGCTGCCCCCGCTTCCTTAGGGAGCCATCGGTCTCCCTGGAAGGAGCTGGTCCGGTCACGGCTCCCCGCTGCCCTTCTCAATGGGGAAAGCATTAGAAACAGCGCCAGCCTTCCCGGTTAATGAACTCGATGGCTTCTAATTACTGCACCAAAGCAGAGCTGTCCCTCCACCGCGGTGGGGCGGGAACCGCTGCGGCCACGTCGCTCTGCTGTGTTTAAGACTTGTGTGCAGGACTTTGGCAGGATTCCCGGGAGAGGCAGCAGCTGCCGGTCTCCCCCTTCTCCAGAAACGCGCGGACAACTCGGACGTCTGCCCGAGCTCACCTCTCCAGCCTTGTGTCCCCTCCGCCACATCCCGTGAGGCCACGGAGCTGTGGCCAGGCGCCTATTGCATCCTATCCCCAACACAGGTCCCACCACTGCCCACGACACATCCGCAAGCTGCCTGGAATGTCACACCTGAAATCCAGAGGGACACGGCAATGTCCCCGTGCACCTTCCCTCTCCTCTGGAATGACACTGGGAGGCTTCTCTGATGCACGTGAACCCCATCTCTCCTTCTGTCCACACAGAACAGAGAGGGAACATCCATCCAGGCCATCTTGGGGACACGAAGGATGTTCAGACACAAACTGGGAAACAAAAACATCAGTGAAGAAAGAGAGGGAACTGTTGTGATGAGGAGAACTAACAGCACCTGCTGTCCTACAGCATCCTGTCCTGGGGATGGTTGATCTGGTGCCTGCCAAACAAGCCCTCATCAGGCAACACCAAAGGGCTAGATGGAGATGACAGACTCTCCAAGCTCTCGATCCGGATAGAGATTATGTTATTTGATCCTGGTGGAATCAAAGTAGGCTTCTTCTTGAAAGCTTCTTCTAGCACAGCAATTGCCAGTGCAAAAGAACCTCAAAGCTTAGTGCTAACTTGGGTGGATGGTGATTGATCCAACTTCTGTTCTGTACACCATAAAACACTGCTTGGTTAAAAAAAAAAAAAAAGTTTTTAGGGCCCTGAAATCAGCACTATCCACAACTGCAACTAACCCCAAAGCGGGAGCAGAGCAGGCAGCTCCAGGGCGCTGTGTGCACGGGCTCAAAGGCCAAGGCGCCGAGCCATCCTGAACGTGCAGCTTGCGGAGCAGCGGCACGACCCGAGCAGCACGTCCTCCCCACGGGGCTGGCTCCGGCGTGCTCGGCTCTCCCGCGGGTCAGCAAGTGCGGCTGCTGCGGGATGACTTTATAACGTGCTCACATGGAGGGCAAAGCCCGAAGTTCAGCAAGTCCTCACTGGCCTCTGCTAAGCGCGGAGCGGGAGGCCGCCGGGATGGAGCTGGCCGAGCACAGCGGCATGGGAAAACGGAGCCGCCTGTCCTGCCAGCCAGACACAGGCACCACAGAGCTGTTCCCAGCCTGCCATTCCCAGAGATGGACAAGACGCGCTCCACGAGGAGGCTCCGTGGGCCACGCAGGCCCTGCTGAGGTCAGTTCCACCCTGTCCCCCTGCTCCGTGCCCTCCGAGAGCATCCCGGCTCCGGCCGGGGAGCCCATCGCGGCAGCGTCTGGCCTGCTCTGCTCCCCACTACACTTCCTATGCAGACAAGGAAAGGAAAGAAAGATCAGCAGAATACAAGCAGCTGGCCAGGAAGAAAAGGGAGCCCAGCATCGTCAGAGAGCAGAGCACCCGGCCGCGGAGCGAGGCGAGCGCTGGGCGAGCTGGGCGGCCGCGCTCGCCGCTCCGACCCGCAGCCCCCGAGCTCACGTGCCCATCCCGGGGGCCCGTCCAGCTCCAGGTGCTCCAAGGCATCCGGAGGGCTCGCGGCTCCTCTGCGCTCTCTTGAGCAAGTCCCAGCTGGTTTGTGGTGGGGATGAGCCTGCCTAGAATGGTGTCTGCTAGCGGGAAGCAGCCGCTTCATCAAGCAATTAGGAGATTCCAAAATTTCCTAAACTACTCCAAGCCTACAAGGCTGAGTTCTCCTGGGAAAGTTCTCATGCCCTTAGCTTAAACAGAAATACTCCAGGGAACGGTGTCTTCTCCAAGTCCAGCCAAAATCAGGAACAGCAGAAGGGCATGGAAACGCAGACCTGTGCTGCGTTTTAAGGAAAGGTGAACTGGACTTTTCCCAGTTTCCTAATGTCTCTGGGCTGTCTGTAAAGCTCAGGATGATTCCTGCCTCCTTTGAAGGAGCTAGTTAATTCCCAAGTCCCAGAGAGAAGCAGGCAAGAGGGCTGGTGCTGAAGCATCTCCAGCTGAGCGGGACCCTTCACAGTCAACCCATCGGCTGCCCTGGGCAGTTTTAGCAAGGGACATGGGGAATTAGCTGGGGACTAGCACAGAACGAGGGCGCTGCACAGGGTAGGGATAGAGAAAGGTGGATGGAAGAGAAAGCAGCAACACCAGAGGCTGAGATCCTGAGCACTAACAGCCCACGAGCGGTGCTGGACCGCGCGATCTGATCAAGGTCACAGGGAAGGAAGCGGCAGGGCTGAGCACTCCGGGCTCCTGGCCCCTCTCTGCGCTCTCTCCTGTGATCTCAGGTGACTCCACGTCCCTTGTCCTCGCTACATTTATTCCTGGTGCTTTTTTTGCTGCCGAGTATATGGCAGCAGTGGATGAGGGTGCAGAACCTCAGTGCCTGTCCCAGCACCCAGGGGATTCATTTGCCGAGGGAGTGACAACCTTAGGAGACCATCCAAGGGCCTCCTTGCAAGAGGCCTCCCAGATCCTGCTCTGACCTCTCTGCTTTGGATGGAAACTTTCTAGCCCCAAGAAAAGACCTGACACCTGCTAGACCACACTCAGCAAGCAGAAAGACACAAGAGAAGGTGGAGTCCCAACCCCTCCACAGATCCCCACGTCCCACATCACGACCTGCAGCGTTGGGATGCTGCACGTAACCCACTCTGCAGCTCAGCCCTGCACGCACGCAGCTCCTTGCAGCTCTCGGTGCCATCTCCCTTCTTGCCAAGCTTGGGTTCCTCGTCACCTTGGGCTCATGAAGGAAGGGCGGACGGAGCCTCCTCCTGTCCAGCTCCGCAGGAGCACCATGAACGCGACCAGGTGTGCGGCCC